ATATATACATAACACAGTGATAAGTAAATAGTAAAAATAATATGAAAAAAATAGAGCAGAAAAACACTGACTATAGGTGTTGATAAGTAAATCAACCATTTTTGACTGTTCACAAATTGCTGCCAGATGTAATGGTGTATAGCCAGCCTAAAGTGAATGTCCATAACAAATGTTAGATACATTTACCATCATTACCACTCCAAACACTTACCCCCTGAAAATAAAAACAAAAATGGTACTTATAAACATATTGATACATATCAATATTTTCTCAGCAAAACAATCACATGTTTACTATTTGGAAACAAACCCTAATAACAACAATAACAATATCAATATCAATAGTAATAATAATAAAAATAAAAATAAAAATAATAATAATAATAATAATAATAATAATAATAATGATAATGATAGTGATAATAATAATAGTAGTATAAAAGACCCACAGTTTGAACGTTAACTTTAGCACCTTCTCGCAATAAAAAACGAGCAACATTCAGATGGCCTCCTTTTGCCGCATAATGTAAGCCAGTATATCGATGATTAAGTGGTGTGCTGTAGTTTACAAGTTCAGACTAAAAAAGAAGAAAAATAAGAAAAGCAAATTGAAATCAACTAAATAAAAATAAAATAATAATGTTCCAAAACAAGAAAAAAAATTGCGTCATTTCTTCTTTTTTATAACCCTTCTTTAACCTTTAACCTTTCCTTGTACAAGTTTCTTGACCGTCATTAAGTTACCAACTGCGCAGGCGTATATAAATGATAATTCAGGAGATTTAAATTTGATTTCTCTATCCTCATCCGATACACTTGAATCCTTAATAACAGTTAAAATAAAACAAAAAGCAAAAGAAAAAAACTGAAGACAAAAGAGTGAAAAAACGATTGTTATCTGAGAAAAGCAATTTTTTTTTTGCTTCTTCTTCTTCTTCGACCTCTTCACACAAATATTTTTGTTAGATAATTGTTAGTAAGCGAAAAATAAAAAAAAGCAATTCTCTGTGATTTTAATCGTACGCTAAAGAAATTGGTTCTTCAAAAAAGATAACATTAATAAATATATTTTTTTAATAAAAAAAAAATTTTTTTTTCTTCTTTTTGCTATTGCTGTTATTGGATAAATAAATTTGTGCATACTGAAAAAAAAATTAAGGCAAATAATAAACGAGAGGAAACGAATGTAAAGATGTAAGGCATAAACGGATGGATGGATGGATAAACGTCGTTTGGATTTGGATACAAGGAGGAGAAAGGAAGAAAGATGAAAAACAAGAGGAAAAAATGCTGTGAGCTTAAAAGATGTGTATCGCCTTGTTTGCACAATATAACTATATCAGATTACTTTTTGCTCTGAATTGTAAAACAAAATTAATGTTCTAAACAGCAAAAAAAAAAAAAAAAAAAAATGCCGACTATAAAAAGACGAATTCAAGGGAAATGAAGTTTTTGAAAGAACCATTATAAAAATACACAGACACATACACACACACACACACACACACACA